GAATCTCGTGATATGTATAATTGAAGAGAGATGCGTCTTATGGACAGTGGAGTTGGTTCAAGCGATTCAAAAGGTGGGAATTCGGACCTTGTAAATGTTCAGCGCACTGGGCGCCCTCTTCGGTGGGCGGCTGCCTGCAAAACCCATCCACCAACTTTCGAACGTCTAACATCAACTGAGGAAAGTAGTTGATGATGAAAGGAAGCATTCCATGACCTCTAACGATTCCTCAATCTTTGGCATGAATTCCCTTGAATAAGGTAATTCTGTAAGCTCTCAGTTGGACACAATAGGGCATTAGGTTCGATGCTTGTCTATGAGGTCGAAATTGAAATCTTCTAGTCACTCAAACTACTGCAAGCATTCCTAAGAGACATAGCATCTTGGCCATATACTTAGCAACTGGACCTGTGCGGTTTAGCTTTTTAATTAGAGGTAAAAAGAGGCTGTCGAAAATGCTCAATTTCGTCGACCTAACACTCCAGTTTGAGCACTCGAATATTAAATGAATTTAGTTAATTAAATTTGAATGGAAAGAGAAACTTCGAGAAAACTAAGTAGACTATTGCATAGGGCTAGGAATTCTCTGCAAAACAGTATAAACTCAATAACAAAACTTTTCATCTTTGGCGCGATATTTCGAGTAGGAAAAAAAACGCCATTACGTGGAGTAAGCTCTTCTTGTCCTCCTCTTTTTCCGACGACACAAACCATTTCTTTGGACGACTGCAACTATCTTAGATCCTTAGGATTTGTGAAACGGACGGGTACACATATAACTCACAGCTCAGGCTGCGTATTAAAGATCACCAGAGCATTCTTCAAAGCACCGCCCCTTCTCGCACCCAGAGATTCTGTCTTTCGCAGCAGTTTAGGTTCTGCACTGAATAGTTAGTGGTCAGATAAAACCTTGAAGCCAAGACACTTTTATAACCAACAACCTATTTGATCCTTGTGCTGCACATTTTTCTGTGTGCTGCTTCAGGTCTGTTAGTTCAGAGTTATTTATTTAAAAAGCAAATTATTGCGATTCTTGGATGGTTGGAAGGATTACTTTATTGTTGTTTCGAGTGAATTCCACAAGTTAGCCTTATTCACAGTAAACGCTAAGTCTTGAACACTTTTTGCCTCAGCAGGACTCAACACTTGGGACCAAGCAGCTAAAGGCCCCTTAATTACGCAGTTAAGAGATTAAATTACTTAGTTATGTGGGTTCCTGTTATGAAAAAGCCTATGCCGCTCCAGCACCCTGCATATGACGGACAAGTAGGCAAACATATATTAACATCAGTCCTTAGCTTACCCCCCCCCCCCACGCCCCCCGCCTGAGACCGCCCTGGGATCCACCCAAGACTTCACTCAACCATACTACCCAGGACGACACAATACACTTCACTTGAAGTTTTATTTCGATTATGAGTGTTTGTAAAGACGGCTCTGGAGGATCTAAAAGAGCGGAAACACGGGAGAACTCTTCACGTGAAAACCTCCCAAGGAACCTCTTCATCCGGGATGGTCTCAAGAAGGTTCCAATTTGGAAATAGTATAGAACCGATAGGCCAATTGCTGTACTCCCTACTCTTTTTTTCTTTTCCCTACCCAGATTTTCTATTAGGTTTTTGATCCGCAAAGCTTGCATGGCGCGTTTTCTGTTTCTTGAGCTCTTTTGGAATTTAATTTTCATTCCAATCAGTCGCGCTCCACAGCTGCATACCCATTATTTACCTTGGATAATGCGATGAATATAACTTATGGTCCGAACTTCCAATTCGCATTTTCAAAGACTAGCAACTTTGGTCTGAACGGTGCCTTCGGTGCTCACTCTTCAGTCCTGCTCATGCCGGTTTTTGTCACATCATTTACTTTCATTTTTTCGAGAAATGTGATGCACTCCTCAGCTTTCTATTGCTTGCGATTCAAGAACATTTGTGTAATTTGTATTTCTCTCGAATTCCGCCTTATTACTACTCGAAAAGCAGATTTCAGAAATTCAATGTTGAAAACGTTCGTAGTTTTCTTCATGTTCATAGCTGTGAAGTGCAGGAGAGGTTGGTCATTCGAAGATTTAACGGAGCACCAGTGGTCATTGATGTCCCACTGTAGAGTTAAATAAAACATACTAGTTAGGAAACTTCATGGTACCTACTGTATCCCAGAAAACCCACCAGGAAGGTTGTCAAGCATTCACAGCACTTAAAACGGCTTTTTACAAATGAGCTCTTGGATCAGAATCAGAGTCCAGTCCTTCTAATGTACTCTACTAGAAGCTTGCTAAAAATGAGGAAATATTTCTTAGGGCGACTCACCAAAGTGACTTGTAAAGTTCATACTATTACTTGGACTCGTTACTTCTCTCAAATGCAATCGTTCCCTGGCATAGTGAACAATTCCTAATCGAAAACTTAAAGGTGGCACGGAAATCCCAAGTCGTCATGTAGCCTTTCAGATGCTTCCCGTCCTCGACTTCATTTCCTGCTACTTGCTAGTGAAGCGCTAGATTATCTGAAACCTACGACATTTACGAAACTTGCGACACCCTTGTTCTCTGAGGGAGATGGGGTATGTCAGTGCCGCCGGGTTTGTCGCGCTGCCAGCCCGTTCTCCACCCTTTTGGTGAGCGACAACAATT